ACCTCCTCCCTTCCCCCTTTTAGCGCTTAGAACAGTGCCTTGCATCTAGAGGATTCGTGTGGTCTTTATTTGTGTTAGATAGTTCTCAATTTTTGCTGAACCCAATTAGACAATAATATTTTCTCCCCGCTCCTAATATAGCGTGTAGAACGCTAGAATGAGGAAAAACGACATTGACAACATTATAAGGGGTCACCTCACTCTAAGATCTTTGGTTCAAATTTTAATGCGCAGCATATTATTTTTGACGTGTTTTTTGTGTTTTTTGCATTTTTTCCCTTCTTTTGCTACACTGTAGCCCATTATAATTTATTCTCTCTCTCTCTCTCTCTCTCTCTCTCTCTCTCTCTCTCTCTCTCTCTCTCTCTCTCTGTGTGTGTCTGTCTCTCAGTCTCTCTTTCTGTCTGTCTGTCTGTCTGTATCTTTCTCTCTCTCACTCTCTCTCTCTCTCTCTCTCTCTCTCTCTCTCTCTCTCTCTCTGTGTCTGTCTCTCAGTCTCTCTGTCTGTCTGTCTGTCTGTCTGTCTGTCTGTCTCTCTCTCTCTCTCTCTCTCTGTGTGTGTGTGTGTCTGTCTCTCAGTCTCTCTTTCTGTCTGTCTGTCTGTCTGTATCTTTCTCTCTCTCTCTCTCTCTCTCTCTCTCTCTCTCTCTCTCTCTCTCTCTCTCTCTCTCTCTCTCTCTCTCTCTCTCTCTCTCTCTCTCTCTCTCTCTCTCTCTCTCTCTCTCTCTCTCCCCCCTCTCGCTTTTTGTACAGATTTTGTTTTGTAAGTCTAGTAATTATTATTTTTCTTCGGTTTTACTTGTTTGCTCAGGCAACGGCCTTGTTAATTTTTATTCTTTTCGGCACTGTTTGTGTTTGTGCTACCGGTGTCAATTACTTGTGACTTTCTTGTTTTGTTTTTGAAAGCGGTCTCTTTTTTTCCTTCCTTCCTTCTCTCTTTCTCTTTTCTCTCTTTCTTTCTCTCTCTCTTTCTTTCTTTCTTTCTTTCTTTCTTTCTTTCTTTCTTTCTTTCTTTCTTTCTTTCCTATTCTTTCTTTCTTGCTTTCTTCCCTATTCTTTTTTCTTTAAAAATTAAATTATGATCCAACTTGATATGTATGTATACATTACTTTGTCTGTAACAGAAATGAGATAAGATTACTTACTTTTGGCGGGTGCTTTGCTGTGGTTTGCTCCATCTTTTTTTTTTTTTTTTAATCAAACTTCTATCATCCCCGTCTCTCGCCTCCTTCTTTTCTTTGTATGTCTCTCTAGTACCACCTTTAATCTTCGGCACTTATATGACTTTATTGTGTTGCAAGTGCCTTGAATCTCTTAATAAAACGGTTACTTGACACAGCGTGATTTTTTAAATGTGTTCCTCATTTTCATTTTTATATATTCTATATTGAATCAGTGGTTGGTTGGCGGGTGCTCTGGTGTGGTTTGCTTCTTCTTTCCTGTCAAACATCTATCATCTTTGTCTCCCCTCCTTCTTTTTTGTGTTTGTTACTCTCTTGTAACACCTCTAATCTTCGGCACTTATATGACCTTATTGTGTTGCAAGGGCGGTAAAACACTTACTAAAAAAAATATTACTGAATCAAACCAAACCTTTCGACATTCTAACAGTTTAAATCGGTGAATACAACTAGGTTTGATTCGAAACAACCGCCGTACCCCCTCCCCCTTTTATTGAACTGAGCTGTGATATTTTCAAACAATAGAGGAAACGTGCGAGCTATTTCACAGCGTCTTTCCAGATTTAGCAACTTGTTTTAGATGTCATAGAAGCTAATTAGCCCAGGATACCTCAACTCACCCCCCTCCTCCGGACACACTCACATACACACACACATACACACACACACACACGCACACACACACGCACACACACATACACACACACACATACACTCACACACAAATGCAAACACACACTCGTACACATGTACACACTTATAAACACGCGTTAACCCCCCCCCCCCCCCCAACTTATACACACCTACACACTCACACACACACACACATACACACACACACACACACACACACACACACACACACACACACACACTCACACACACAAATGCAAACACACACTCGTACACATGTACACACTTATAAAAATGGGTTCACACCCCCCCCCCCAAAACAACTCATACACATTTTCACAACTCAACAGAAAAAGGGGGGGGCGCGGCACTCTCAACA